GGGGAAGAGACGCTCTATTGTCTCCTCGTCACTCTCCTCCTCTTCCTCCTCCTCCTCCTCAGCGGTGGTGCTCTCAACTTCTGAGGTTGCAGAAGCAAGATCATCCTCTTCTGTGCCCGTTGTACCAGTCTAGGAAAAAATTGTTATGACCTTTTATGATTCCAGCGCAGGCACAGCAACACGCAAAACTATTTTCTTACTAAGGCATCAATAATGAATATCTGATGTAGAGAATATGCTTCAAAAGAAGAAATTAGTAAATAAACAAAATAATAATTTAAAAAAACTTTACTTCTAAATCAACTAAATCTGTAATTCACGAACTAAAATACTATAAACAATTTCAAAAGCCAGAAATATTTATAATGAGAGTCCCATTTTTTACCCACACTCTCAACAACAGATCTCATACCTGTGAGCTTGTTTCAGATTCCTCCTGCTGTTCTCGTTTTCGTTTCTCTCTCTCGATTGTTTCTCGTATTGTTTCTGAGAGCCGTCTCTTGCGCTTCCTGTCTTTACTGATAAAAAAAATAAGGATTGTTATAACTAGCACTGTTCAGTCTACAACTAACCCAAAATTTTCTTGTTTTAAGTCAAAATAAATCTGAAAAATCATCCCATTAATGCCAGGAAGGCACCGTACATGCTTTGTCCAATGTGATTTTAGTGTATCAATATTGTTTATATATAGATAGCACCCAAATGCTTAGTCATCAAAGAGTCTATTACTAGGTCTACAGAATTTCACTTGTTGGTCCTATTGCATCTTTTTTCTGTATTTGTATCACAATTGGTATTATTTATAATGCTAAACATTAATAATGTCATCAGTCTTCAATAATGTTAATAAATGATATGAAAACAGTGTTGGAAACAAAACTTCAAAAAGTAAAGATGACGGAATCAGATTAACAGCCAAGGCTTGTCAAACCATTTATGTGTAAACAGAATTGGCAAAACAAAACAAAAATGTACAGTAGTTTAGAGAAACACACTAAGGGAGAGATATAGCTTGAAAATCATGATTAAATCTGAGCTACAATTTTTTATAAGCCAAAGGATAAGGGAACTTATAATATATATCAAATGCAAAGTTTTTTACCCTTAGTGTCTAACATCAGCAATGCAAACATTTCCATCTCATATCTTTGATTATGACTTAATAAGTTTTGAATTTACCAAATGGCTCTTAAATTATGCTTTAAAGATTGCTCTTTTCATAATTATATCAGTAATACAAGTAAAGTCTCATATATCCTTTTCTTTGACATATTTATATGAAAATCCCATAGATCTACAGCGTATTTTTGTCAGATGAAATACATACAACATGCAATACATGGACAGAGAATAAAACTATAAGACAAGCAAACAGTGAAAGAAAATGAAAAAGTAATAGTCAAGCAGAAATGAATTTTTGAAAACTATAAGTGAAAATCACTACTTACTATAGAGGTCCTCCAATCAACACCCGATTGGACTTAATGGATCTGTAAAGGAAACAGAATTTAAGAGAGGATCGGCTGTATATAATTCTATTTGCCATATCAAAACATTCTAAAATATAAATAAAATGAAGCACTTTTATCTGCGCAAAGAGGCGTTTTTGAAGAGAGAGGGAGAGGGAGAGGGAGAGAGAGGGAGAGGGGAAGAGAGGGAGAGAGGAGAGAGGGAGAGAGGAGAGAGAGAGAAGGAGAGAGAGAGAGAGAGGAGGAGGAGAGAGAGAGAGGGAAGAGGAGAGAGAGAGAGGAGAGAGAGAAGAGAGAGAGAGGAGAGAGAGAGAGAAGAGAGAGAGAGAGAGGGAGGTAGGTAGGGATTTTTTTTCTTTCTTTCTTTCTTTCAAGTGATGTAAGGAATATGTTCATGGACACCACCTCACTCTAAACCCTAGCTCCAAAACCTAGATACTCCATTGGAAAAATAAAACTGAATAAATTCAAAATACAATTCTTGTATAATTATTAAAGCCTCTCTACTTCAACTGGTTCTGTTTCACAAGAAAATACAGCGGTTGACTAACATGCGCAAGTAAAATGCATTCTGTGGCCAGTCACGTTTATCGAATACAGAGGCAGCTGTGACATCTGCATTCTCATGGGTATTATTCTCTAATAAAATAATTCATCAAGTAAATCCCTGATAAGCCATCATGGTGCAAAAACATTATATTGCATATCAAATAGGACAATATATTGCTGCACATCAGTTATACCACATATTCGTAACATAAAGAAAGACTAATCCTTTACACAATGGCCTTACAATTTGATATGCGCCTTGTCTGCCAGCTGACGTTGCAGCTCCCTATTCTCTTCTGTATCTTTGAGAACTAAGTCTTCAGACACACAACGATCCCATGATGCGTTCCATCCCTGAAAAAGATAATAAAACAAACATCTCATATTCTTTTAGGATTTGCTGAGAAAAAAAATATATAAGTAATAGTGTCAGTGCCTGTCCTCTTATCTGTGATAAAAGATCTATCCAAAATCAATAAGAAAAAAATTGATGAATACTATTTTGGATATCAAAAGGATGTACCTAAACATTTTCATACCTGAAAGTGGATCAAATATTCAACTTGCTTCCGGCCTTTGTTATCTTTGTTATATACTACTTCAAGGACTTTTGAGTCATACAATACTTTAGCCTTGGTGGGATCAGGTTCATAGCACAGCACTCTCTCTCCTTCACTGAACTTTACTCTCACTCCACGGGTAGACACCATAGTGACTGTAAGGGAAACATAAAAGGTTGTTTCAATCTCAATAAATAGAATGAAAATAAAATTTGGAGACATATCAATTCTTATGTTTAAGTTCCTGCATCAAAACATGTCTCTACCTTTTTTTGTATTTTTCTATATGATTTTCCTATTCTCTCTAAATTATGTCCAAAAAAGGTTTTATCTACACTCTCAGTGGATACTTACTGTGATTCATATATCCTGTGGTATATCTATGGTAAAACTCTACATAAAATAGCCAATGGACAAACAGTCATAAATCACTTTGTTATATAGAGCAAATGGATTGATCTAAGTGGTGGCAACATATCTAGTTCATAATGTGCTATAAATTTGGATCATCACTTGCGAAAATAACTTGCTTTGGAATAAGCCCTATTTCTTAATCTCACCCTTCTATTGATGATTTTTTATTATTATTAGAGATGTGAGGAGGTGTGTATTCTACAAACATTGTTAATGTCTATTTATGGCTGATCCTAAAAGGGAACTGTATCTTTGTCTATAAAGTAACAAATCAAAATTGAGATTAAATCAAATATCAAGTGAAACAAAACACAAAAACATGTCAAGTGAAAACACAAAAACAATCATATATTTTGACAATATACTGGACTGAAATGAGTGTCTGTCACCTGGTGTCTCATACTATCACACAAATTGCTGAAGTGTTCATAGAAAAATTTTATTAATGTTGCCAGATAACACCCTTTATACTGACAACACCCTTTACATGATAAAAAAAGTTATCTGTTCTTTAGGCATTTTAAATATTCTTACATAAGTCTGAATACTGATACACAAACTCCAAAAGCTGTGGGGCAACTAAAGTAATTTCATTGGAGAGAACTGTAAAACCCCTTACACATCTATCTATGTATATATGAATCTCAGAGTTCACTTGTGAATGCCTTCATCCACTTGATATTCTCTTTGTTCTAGGAAGAAATTTCTTTCTTCCACTAACACCCTCTGCAATTCTATTTCCTCTCCTCTACCACACCTCTCTCTCTCTCTCTCCAGGTCATCGTAATCTTTAAAGTTTGTTTTCTTTCACTAAAGCCTCTCCTGTTCTCTTCCTCTCTCTGTCCCACCTACCTACCTACCTACTACCTACCTCCCCCCCCCCCCTCTCTCTCTCTCTCTCTCTCTCTCTCTCTCTCTCTCTCTCTCTCTCTCTCTCTCTCTCTCTCTCTCTCTCTCTCTCTCTTCTCTCTCTCTCTCTCTCTCTCTCTCTCTCTTTTAGATAGTATGATAGTATGGTAGCAAAAAAGGGTAAAGTGGGGAGCAAAATGAAGAAAAGCAGAAATTAGCAAAAGAGGAAAGAGTTAAGGGCTTAAGGTGACTGATGAAATGGAGAGTATCTGCAGCTGAGGAAGAGGAACATTGTCTAAAGAAAACTAGTAAAAGAGCCATTATGAAACAATCAACTGGTAATTCGGGTAGAGATGGCTGTTGGAGAAGTAGGTGGAGTAAAATCTGGGGAAAGAGATAAGGGATTGGGGAAGGTCAATACATACAGGAAAAATAGCAGGAGGTGAGGGATCCAGAAAGACGCTGTTGAGATAGAACGGATTCACATGAGTATCCAGGTGGGAGCAGTAAGCATATTGGGGAAAGAAGAGGGAATGGTGGCATGGAATGAGAGAGACTGGTGCATGGAATGGAGAAGGAGAGGATGGTGCAGGGAACAGTGCATGGAATGGAGGAGAGGAGAGGGTGCTGTGAGAAGTAGGAAGGAAAGGGGGTAGGGGGATCTTGAGGAGGTGGAGGATGGATATTGGCAAATACTTTCAATGTTGAGGGAATAAGAATAAAAGGATTGGAGGGATGAGGGAGTGGAGCATTCTCTTGGGTCATGTTTACAAAGTCTTCAAGAGTTCCTGGAAGGGAGTTGGGTGGGGAGGTCTGAGAAACAAAGGTTCTTTTGAGGAGAAGAGGGGATAGATGTCCAAGGAGTAGAGGAGGGGGAGGGTTTAGGAGAGGATTTTTAGGTTGCCTGGTGTGACAGGGAAAGCGAGAAGGAGGGTAGGCATTAGGGAAGTGGTAGAGATTGGAGTATCTAGATTTAGACTGGAAAAGGAATTTGACTTGGGGAGAGGGGAGTAGAAGTAGGATAGTTCAGGAGAAAGGACAGTTTTAGAATAGGTAGTGATAGAAAAACCCTGGTATGGTTGGACAGGACAGGACATTCCACCGATATAAGCTTCATGGGGAGGTCATGTCTATGGAAGCTAATCTTAGCAACATTGGTGTAGGATTTACACTGGCTTCTAGGAGGAATAGTATAGCATTGTAATGCCACTACATCATAGTCAACAAGTCATTTTCACAGGATGACCAGTCCTCGTTGTAGATAGGACAATAAGTGGGGGAGAAGGAAACACTTCCAGTACAAGTATTAACCTGTTGGATCTGGTTGCGTCAAAGCAATCATCTGGCTGAAAATATTGCCATTAGGTTACATAAGTGGGCGCTCTGCTAGGCATGTGGCTCATAGGCCATGTGCAGTGACAAGACTATATGCCTCTTCCTTGCAATGTTATTTTGCATAAACTTTTAAAGCTTTTTGCCATTTATCAATGTCTATATTTGTCTTCTGATTTGCTTTATCAAGATGGAAAAAGATAATTTTCCTTGCACAGTCTCCATATCATTGCTCTATGTAGTAAATAACTTAGTGAAAAAAAAGTAACATTTTGTTATTTCTCACATATCTTATTTTTTCATAATATTCAATTTTGATGGCCACCGGTCATACAATGCTGATCATGGAAATTGCATCCTCCCTGGAGCAAGTGCTCTTCCAGTCATGGCTCAAGACCATTTCATTCTTCACTGATCTATCAATGGGAATAATGCAAAAGTCCCTTCTATATGCCTAAGGTGTCTAATCTCACTCCAAGAGGTTTGTGCATTTGTGGCGAGTCTTTTCTGTTACCCTGGCATTCGCTCATGACAGTAAGTTAACATCACCCAGCCCACAGCCATTCTATCCCATGATGGCATGTTCATGTTACCCACACCTCATCCAAAAAAATTTCATGACCTGATGGTCATGGTTTATGGTTAATGGTTAAAAAGCAAAATAAATGTGCTAGACATCTAAGGTCATATAATACTATAGGAATTAAAGGAGGGGTGAAGGGTGATAGTTGCAATGAGTCAACTATCTAGAGTAATCTTGAAAGGTTAAAGATGGGTAAAGGAGTTACTGTGTGAATGGGCTACGTGGGTCTAGGTAAGGGAATTACATAAGGGTTTCACGAGTGTATCCAGGAGGGAGTGGAAATGATAGAGGGAATGGAGAGAGGGAGAATGTACATGTAGTTGGAGGTGAGGGGTTGTGTTGGGAGGGAGTAAGAGAAAGTGGTGTAGGGGAAATCTGAGTAGGGGGAGGATCGGTGTCAGGAGGATGGATATTGGTAGTATCAGGAGGATGGATATCGGAGGATGGATATCAGTAGTGGAATTGAGGGGTTAGGTTGTGTTGAGAGGGAGTAGGAGGAAGAGGTGTGGGGAATATGAGTCGGAGGGGATGGATATCGGCAGTCACTTTGAGTGTGGAGGAGCATGAGTTATGGGATCTTGTGTCTCAAGCAAATAGCTTTGAATATCTCCCATAGTTTCTGCAGTGGAGTTGGTTGGAGAGTTTTGTGAGACATAGGTTTTCTTATGAGGGGGGAAGAGGAGACTGGTATCTGAGGAATAAAGGCAAAGGTAGGTGGAGGTGAGTGTGCGGTAGTGGAAGAACATTTAGTCTGTCTGATGCGGGCAGTGCAGGGAGAGAGGGAATGGTGTTGGGGCTGAGTGTCTGGATTTAAAGTGGTAAAAGAATTTGACTGGGAGGGGTAGAATGTAGAAGTGGAAGTAGGGAAGTAAGTAGGTATAGGGGAGGGTGTAGGAACATCTTGGGGTGGTGGGGAGGGGCAGGGCAGGCGAGATTACTAGAGTAGGGTGTATGAGAGAAACCTTGTTGGTGAGCTTCCTGTCTAGCTTCATGTAGAGCAAGATCATTTTTGTATCTGAGAGTTACTACCTCAAATTCAAACTTGTAAGTGGTACAGCCTCTATAAAATACATTATGAGGGCCACTGCAATTAGCATATGTGCGCGTTTGTGCAGAGCAGTTTGATCGGTTATGACTGGGTTGGGCACATAGGTGGCATCGGTCTGTGGAACAGTGATGTTTAGCAGGATGTCCAAAGCACCAACAGTTTTGATATTGACGGGGAGGAGGTTGGTATGGTCGAACAGGGAGGGATTGTCCACCAATGTAGGGAAGGGAAGGGAGGGTCATGTGTATGGAAAATAATTTTGGCAATGTTGGTGGGTTTCTTTCGATGACCTCTAGGAGCAATGGAGTAGCAATGTACTGATATCACATCACGGTCTTTGAGGCAGCCGAGTAAGTATTCTCCACAATCTGACCAATCGATATCCATAGGGCAGCTTGCTGGGGAGATGGACACAGTTCCAGTACAAGTATTAAGAGTTGGATGAGATTCTGCAGGAATGGGGTTGCCAAAGAGATCAGTTAGATTTGATAATGCAATAGCTTCGGATTCAGATGTGATTGTTATGAGACAGGAATGATCGGGTTGGGTACGGAAAGGGACTCTGCCCACTTGCTTTTGGAGGCATTGTTGAAAGAGAAGAGTGTTGCCTGAGTAAGGAGCTGTAGGGGGAATCACATAAAATCAGTCCCATTTAGCTGGGCTAAATAGAGCATTTAAGATATTTGTAGGTTTGGTGGTGGTAGGACTGGGACGTGTGGAAGAGGGAGTGTTGTTGAGGGGATTAGTATTACGGAGAGATGGAGAATAAGGCTGTAAGGTAGTAATAAGGGAGGATGGGTGTTTGATGAAGAAGGTTGTATGGGTAGAGGTGATGAAGCTGAGGAAGTTGGGAGAGTAGGAATGTCTTCTGGAGATTGAGTCTCGGCTAAGGTGGGTAATGCACTAGTAGGCATTGAGGAGTGGGTAGT